AAATTTGTCAACTAATTCATTCAGATGCTTAGCTAACAGAAATTTGCAGACAAACCCAAGCAAGCAATACTGACATGAGGATTTATATTTTAAAGATGAGCTTTGCTTTACTGTATCTAAATATCTTAACTGACACTTCCCTTCAGTAGATTTTTTGTTTTCAGTCATGTTCAGGGGTAAAAATGGAGCAAATGCTACAACTAAGGGGTAGAAATGGAAACAACTAAGTCTAAACCTCACATAAAACCATAAAGGACCCTCAATAATCAAAACAACTGAGCAACATGAACAAAGCTGAGGACATCCCACTACCTGACTGAAGAATATACAATCAGACTGTAGTTAACCAAAACATCATGATACTGGCATAAAGTAGATACAAAAACAATGAACGAAAACAGGAAGCCCAAAAATAATTTGATGCACTTACAGCAGCGATATGCAGCAAAGAGCCCAAAACACATGGTAGTAAAAAAAGCATTGTCTTATCAACCTGTGTTGGGAAAGCAATTATCATCTGTGGGGCGTTTACCCAACCACCCCCACAGTTCCCCAGAGTTTTCTTGAGTGCGAGCAGCAGGAAATATTAGATAGAAGGATTTATTGCGGAGAATATCGCGGAGATAAACAGATAGAAAATAAAGGATAGCCTCGAGAGGGCCTGGAACCTATTCCAACGGGCCCCGACTGTCTCTGCCCCAGGGTTTTTATAGAGATGCCAAGGGGTGGAGCAAAAGACCTCCTCCCCCAGCACAGCCAAGTGCAGACCATCCCAGACACCTGCACTCAGGCCCGTGGTCCTAATCATCCTCTATGCGGACCTGCTGGGTAAAGCCACGAGGAACCCGAGAACGGGATCCCACAATCATCATGCAAAAGAATAAAACGAGATCCACACATTTCACTGTTGTCCTAGTTAGGATTTCTATTGCTGTAATGAAACACCATGATCAAGGTTAAGTTGAAGAAGAAAGGGTTATTTTTGTGTATGCTTCATCATCAAATGAAGCCAGGACAGGGACTCAAATAGAGCAGAACCTAGAGACAGGAGCTGATGCAGAGGCCATGGAGGAGTGCAACCTACTGGCTTGTACTCTGTGGCTTGTTCAGCCTGTTTTCTTATAGAACCCAAAATCACAAGCACAACTACAATGGACTGAACCCTCCCACATCAATCACTAATTTAAAAAATATATATATATACCCCACAGGCTTACCTACAGCCCAATCCTACAGAAGTTTTTTTCTCAATTGAGGCTCCCTCTTCTCTGATGACAAGAGCTTATATCAAGTTGATATAAAACTAACCAGGATAACTACATAAAGATCAACTCAAAATGGATTAGATTTAAACTTAAGACCTGATACTAAGACACATATGAATTTCTTTTTTTTTTTTTTGAAGATTTATATATTTATTTAGAAGAGGGCATCAGATCTCATTACAGATGGTTGTGAGCCACCATATGGGTGCTGGGAATTGAACTCAGGACCTCCGAAAGAGCAGCCAGTGTTCTTAACCTCTGAGCCATCTCTCCAGCCTGACACATATGAATTTCAATACTTCAATTTCATCTTCAGTTTTCTCCCTTATTAAACTTGTAGAACATTCAGTACTTACTAATGTGTTTTAGGTTCTTTGGCTCTTTATACTTGTGATATTAACCCATTTTCTTTATATCCTTGCTTTTCATTTATTTATTTTTATGGCTGTACAGTATTACATCTTACATCTACTCTACTGCTAGTAGATATACATTTACATTGCTTTCTCTATTTTGCTACTACAAAAACCACTGCTGTGAAACTTTATATATTTCTTGGTATAACAATTATGATTATGTTGAATGTGTAACTATGAGTAGAATTGCTATAAGTTCTCATAAACAAAGTAAATATTAGCAGGTAGTGCCAAAGTTTTCCTTTCCATATTAATTATACCAACTTGATTTTCCTCATCAGCACAGGATGCTTGTTTTTGTTGTGCACCCTCACTGTTGCTAGTTTTTGTCAGTCTTTTTAGTTTTATCATGCCCAGATATTTTAAGGGTCTTTTATAGTTTTAAGTTGTGTTCTGTTTATTGTAAAGAGGTTGAGCCTATTTCCACATAGTTGATGAATGTTTATACTGCCTACCTGTTAAGCGTATGTTAAGACTTTTGTCCATTTTTTCTTAGTTATCTGTATTTTTTAAATGTTGTTTATTGATTATTGGGAGTTTAAAAAGTATTCTAGATACTAATACTTTCTTGGTTGCCCTCATTGCTGATGTATTTCTTTCATGCTGCAACTTGTTTTTTACACCCTGGATAACAATCTCTGATTAGTAGAGATACAAGAGTTTAACTGAAAATCCCCTGGAGTTGGGCAGGCCTGGAATTCTGCTGTCATCTGGTACTAAGTTTGGTAATTAAAACAAATATCAATGAGATATAGAAAAGATGGAGACATAGTCACGAAAATATCACTTAGGTAAGGGAAAATTAGTCATCTTCCATTTTAGTCTATTTCCTTTCTGTTGTTATCACAAAACACTAGAGGCTGGCTACTATATTTGAAAATAGATTCATTTAGCTCCTACTGTTATAGATTCAAGAGTATGACATGATCATCTGTTTAGCTCTGCCTGTATTGCAACATTACAGATGGCAGTGTGGTGAGCGCATGTTTGGAAGTGCAAAACACCATACCTAGAGGCAAGCCACTCAGGAGCTAAGCTTCCTTTATCTGAATCACTCCGTTTCTGTGTCTCTGTCTCTGTGTCTCTGTCTCTCTCTCTCTCTGTCTCTCTCTCTGTCTCTCTCTCTCTCTCTCTCTCTCTCTCTCTCTCTCTCTCTCTCTCTCTGTGTGTGTGTGTGTGTGTGTGTGTGTGTGTGTGAATACAGATGCATGCTTGCAGAGTGGAGCAGAGAACCTCAGGTATCTCTACTTGCCTTCCACCTTATTTTAGGCAGAGTCTTGCTTTTCACTGCTATGTACACCATGCTATCTGGCCTGTGAGATTTTCCAGTGATTCTGCTGTCTCCACCTCCTACATTGCAATAGGTGCAGCTATTGTGTCTGTCTTTCACATGGGTTCTGTGAATACAAACTCATGTCCTCATTCTTGCACAACAGCACTTTATACACTGAGCCATCATCCCAGCCTTTGTATTGCTCTATTTATAATACCTATCTCTCACAGAGATATTAACTAGGATGTCATGAGAACTACAATCATGCTTTTGAGGGTAACATCCCTACTGTCTTTTGCATTTCATCACAAATCTCTAAAAGAGCCCATCTCTCAACTTAACATTCTAAGGAACAAGCATATAGCATATGAAAGTGTGAAGGGTGAATTGAACTGTAACCTTTGTTTGTTACATGGACTAGAAAAAGAAAGATGGACCTTAAAGACAATTTAAACTTTATAAAAGAATAATGTATGGCTTTTAAAATGTACTATTAGGCGCTACAGAGATGGCTCAGTCATGATTAAGAGCATTTGCTGCTCTTCCAGAGGACCCAGGTTAAATTTTCAACACCCACATGGTAGCTCACAACCATCTGTAACTCCAGTTCCACAGTATCTAATACCCCCTGCTGGCCTCCCAAAGCACCAGGCATGTGTATGGTACACAGACATACATGCAAGCAAAACACCTATTCACATAAAATTAATAATTTTTAAATTAAAAATAAAATAAAAATGCACTGACCATTTCAGAATCAGGAAAGTGGCCATCGCTATATAGCAGAAGAGTTCTAACTAGTCTGTGGTAGAATGAGAGCCTTTCAACTAAGACAAAAGTATGAGTCCATGCAGAGGCACTGTCCTGAAACTTTAGGAGGCAAAGGGACACATTGGCTTTGATATTGGTGCCCCATGAATTCTGTCCAAGTTACTAAGGTTGAAGTTTTGCATTGAAGGCTGTCAGAAGAGATCGTTGTTCAGTAACATTTGGGATAACACAACTTCATTGGCTTTGTCCTAAAGCAAGTAGGAGTGTGTGTGTTAGCAAGACAGAGACAGAGAGATCAAGGAAAGAGAGGTTGAACTGATTATGATGAAGATGTTCTGCAGACATACTGAAGCAAAACTTCAGTGCAGTAAGAGTAAAGGAAGAACTGAAATGCTTCAGGGAGAAAGCGCATGGACACCATTTTAATTTAAAGTAATGATGAGTCCTTTAGTATTTTGAAGGGATTGAGTGACAATCCTTCTATATGTAGAACCTTGGGTGCAGTTAGATTTAATGGTACAATATAAGTTTGTAATTAGAATATAAAATTACATTCTGTTTTTCCATAGCATACACTTCTTGACTGGGAATGGTTTGGATTTTTTGTGGTACATGTGAGATGCCCTTGTTAGTCAAAGCTGGATCTTTGAAATATTACATAATCTCAATGCGCAAGTCAGTTCTTCCTGACACTGTATTTGCTAGCCGCCTTCTGCCCGCAGCTTGTTTACTAACATAGGGGACAATTCTAGAAGTAGTATTTGAGACTTCCTCTGATGATCCAGGGCTTTTTGTAGAATTACTTATAAGTGTTTTTAGACCCAGAGGTTCTGTTTAGGATTGTTGTTGGGGAGATAAGATTGCTCTCTTTCTGGTCTGAAGAAGAAACACCATCATCCTGGATAATCTTTTAAAAATACATAGTAAAGAAGAGATCTTGAGTTTTCTTTTGTATTAGATTTAGTTTGTGGGGACATCCTTACTGGTAACTTGATAATATTTATTAACTGTATACTACTCACTATGCTGGTATTTTTGTACAATTAGCTGTATTTTGTACAACTAGCTCACTGTATTTTTGTACAATTAACTACAAAATGTGACATTCATAAAGGGTTCTGCATGGTGAGAAATACTGATGGATGTACCTAGACTTATTTATATTAAACAGAAAATATTTGATTGATTAAAGGGACTTCTTGTGTTTGTTGACTGTATTTTATTTGAATTCTCTAATGATTTTTTTTTTGTATGTGTGTGTATGTGTCATTTTAGAGGTCAGAGCCCAGCGATTGCTGAATTCAACCTACTCCTGAAAGCTCATACATTGGAGACTTACGGGGTAGATCCTCACCCATGCAAGGTAACTGCCTCAAGCAGGTCACCATATAATCATCATTTTGTCCAAAATAAAATTATTGTCATGTAGGCCTGGCAGAATACCCTTAAATTTGTACAGCCTTATCATAACAATCATTTGGAAGACAAAAGTAGGCTATGATCACATGTTTTAGATGTGACTGGGGTCTGTGCCAGAGACCTAGAAATGCTCACTAATTGTATTGGAGTAGCCAAATTTTCCTAAATTGAGATATATATATAATGGATGATTTCCCTCAGAAAATGAGAGTATTCAAACAAGTTTCCTTTCAAGGTCTTTACCAACAAAATAGTAGTCTTGGGGCCACCCTTTACAGACTTTCTGTCAAGTCCATTTCTCTTCCTCTTTGATGCCCATGTACCCACAGAATCACTCTGTACCATAGGCCCCAGTGTCTAGGTGCGGACTCGGGTAGGCAAACTTTATTATAATTCTTGTCTACCATTCCTGACTACTGCAGCAACCTGCACACAGGAGCTTCACCCACCTTCATTCCCTGGGAACTTTGCCACTTGGTACAGACCCAGGGTATTCCTCGTTCATTCCTACTGTCTTTCAGCCCTCGGTGGGGGAATGCTTTATAGATGTGTCCATTGGGACTGGGCTCTACAACTCTGCATTTTGATTACATGTGATTTTCTGTAATAGTTCCCGTCTGTTTAAAACAGAAGTTTACTTGATGGTAAGTGAAGGATACACTTCTCTGTGGGTATAAAGACAGTTCTTTACGGCTTGTTGTTAGGGATTATGCTAGTTTGGAAAATTAGTAGTTGTAAGTTCTCCTCCAATAATCAGGACTTCATTAGCACTGAGTAGTTAGCTAGATTTACAGTATGAAGCACGGTCTCCCTCTCGGTGTGCATTTTAGTCCAGTTAGAGAGTTCTTGGTTATCGCCAAGATAGGCCTGCCACTACGGCACCTTTAGGCTTATCATGCCTTGCTGGCCATTGATGTGATTCATAGGCATTATAGCTGGGTAGGACTCTTGGTTGTCTCACTCCTTTGGAAGCTTGCATGGAATCTTCTGGTACCATGCATCCCCATAGAGAAGGCTTTCTGACCAGTTCCAGCTCAGAGGTCTCTGGGCGCTGTTTCTGAAGTGCATGGTGTCTTCAGCAAATAGGATCCTACCTTCCACCACTATGGTGTTACCAAGGAAAAAGCAATAAGCTGTATGTTTGGGGAGTCTCTTGGACATCTCTGGCCAACAAATTAGTGTAACTTACGTTACAGCCATGAAAAAAAATTATGTTAACTTTTCAATGTAGTCTTCAAAATGGAGAAAGTGAAAGAGAAAGAAAAGAAACATTTTAAGTTACATTAAGTGAGAATATTTGTTGATCTTGTTCTTTTTCTCATTATTTGATAACATTTTCCACAAGGATGGAATATATATATATAACTTTTATCAGAATTGCCTATGCTCTATCTCAGAGTTACACACTGTTTCACTGTGTCTCTATCTTTGTCTATATCTCTTTCTCGTGTGTGTGATACATGTGTGTAGGTGAGTGTGCACATGTGTGTACTTACATGTGGAGGCCCAAGGTCAGCTTGAGTGTCTTTCATTAATCTCTCTGCACCCCAATTTTATTAGAAAGAGTCTCTCACTGAACTGGTAGCTTATTGATTTGGCTAGGCTGGTATTTTAAATAACCTCTCCTCATTCCATAACCAAAGTTAGGGTTACAAGCATATATTGTCAAATACAGATATTTTTAAATATGAGTTTGGGGATCTCAACTCAGATCTTTATATTTTAGATAGTTGGCACTTTGCTAATTTAGCTATCCAGACAGGCAAATTCCCTCTTATCAGTTTCCTAAACTGGTTTTGTGTTCATATTCCTGAGAAATGATTCATGCAATCCAAGTTTTCTTTTCTGCATTTTAACTATGTATCAACCAGATAATAGCACTAATCTAGACTGAATTCATGTCAATCAGGATACTAAAAATAAGTTTTGTAGTTATTCTTTAGCATTTATACTTACCCAGACCAAGCCAGCTTATCAGCTAAGTATTGGATCTAGTATACTCAACTCAGTCTGCTCATTATCAGTACTTGGGAAACATCATAAAGATCTGTTTGCCCAAAGCTTACCTAACCCTAATTACCTCAGACTCTGTGAGCATGGCAGCTAGGCTGCCAGGTGACATGAATGTGCTAGGATGGTTCTACTTGTCTGTATTGACATAGGCATCTTCTTTTTGTGCCGGCACAATTATTTTATGATATTTCCCAGTTGCCCCTAGTGATGATATAAATGTTTATTTCATTCAGTGGCTTAGATTCTTCCCAGAAATATATTCCCCTCTGTTTATTTTCTTGTTTGGAAACTCACTGAATTTTTCTGTTATTTCTTGACTTCAAGTTATCCATGAGTTGCTTGGAGTTTCAGGTTTGGTTGGGAGTTAAGTAGACTTTTTCTGGTGATTTTTTATACTGATATTGCCAGAAATTCTGCATGTGTTTGAATCAGGTTAGCAGAAATGGTCAAAGTTTTGATTTCATCGTATTAGAGAGCTAAAGGCAACCAAGAATAGTTTGCTGACATTACAGAGAAGATCCAGAGCACAAGCAATTCAAAACACTGGAAACTAGAGTGTTTGGAAGAAATCTTTAATTTTTTTTTTTTATGTGGTTCCTGCTAGAGCAAGATGTCTATTTCTGGAAGAAAAACAATGCATAACTCTAGATTTTTCCAGAGTTTGTAAGTCATGTTCTTGGGAAATCCATCTTAATAGATTATAGCTATAATCACTAGCCTTGGTCTGAATTAACCCAAGATGAAGGAAAATGATCATGTCATTTACCACTTATATTTCTCAATCCAAATAGTTCTTTATTTTTATTTCTTCAGGATTCAAGAGGTGCTACAGCATTTTTAGGATTCACTGCTGCAGGGTTTGTGGTGTTCCAGGGAAATAAGAGAATCCATTTGAGAAAATGGTAAGTACAACTTTGAAAAAATGGCTTACCTTTTTCTTGATCTACCCCCTTTTTCTTTAGCATTATTTTTTCTGGTACTATTAGGTGGTATCCTGCTTAGCTTTAACTGTCAACTTGATACATCTTAAGGTTATCTGGTGTTTTTGTTAGCTTTTGTCAACTTGACACAAATACTAGATATACCTGAGAAGAGTGACGCTCAACTGAAGAACTTCATCAATAAAAACATCATTAACCCACAGGCATATCTGTGAGTCCTTTTCTTGATGGCCAATTAATGTAATAAGGCCTATCCCGCTGTTGTTTACAGCAAACCTGGGCAGGCAGGGCTGTGCTGTATGCAAAAGGTAGCAGACCAAGTCTTTGGAACAAGCAAGCTTGTTCCTCCAAGGTCTCTGCTTTTTTTTCCTATATTTTTTAAAATATAGGAAACTATATTTTAAAAAAAATTGGAACCCAAAGTAGGGTCTTTCTGGGACACACCTGAACGTGTTGGTTTTGGAGAAGATTGTTACAGGATTTTGGAGCTTTGGGGCACCACAGAGATTGACTGTTTAGAGCTTAATGGGCTGTTCTGTGGGAAATTGGGATATAATGCTGAAAGAATGTAAAACAATGGATTCAGAAGAAAGAAAAGATGCTATCAGGGTTGTTTGCATGATACTTTTTGTTAAGAATCTGTGGAAACGAAACCTTTGCTTTACTGGAACAATTAACAATGGTTAGGTGAGACAGAAAAGTCAGATGTTATTAATAACCACCACCACCTGTGGTCCAGAGAGAGCCAAAGATGCATCTCAGCCTGAAAGTCAAACATGTTCATGTCTAAGAATCGCCCACATCATGCTGCTTTTTAAGGCATAAAGGCATCATGAAGAACAGCTGAGGCTCGGCACTATGTGGCAGGTTCAGAGTCCTTGAAGAAGGTCCAGGAACAGCCATTTGTAATGGTGCACCCTCAGTTACAGTAGAAACCCCATGACATGAAACCCCTTTTCATGGAAGAAAACTGAGGATTGGCAGCATGTGGCAGAATCAGGGTTCCTGAAGTGAAGCCAGATAGCTATCAGTGGAGGTGTAGTCTCAGATGCAGATAGCATCACCACGGGATGACCACTAAGGGCAGTGGCAGGTGTAGACTGGAGCACGCTAATCCTCTGTGCGTACTATTGATTGTAGAGCTAGAGTGATGGGGATACCCAAGCTCTTTGGAGCCCAGAAGATCATGAGTGAGTCCCAGATATTGGACACTGATCTATTTTCACAGTTAGAGTGTGGTTCTGATTTAATATGATGGTTCCTCTGCCCTGGTGTTTTTGTTTTTGTTTTTTTTTTTTTAAATAAGAAATGGTGATGTAGTATGGATTTTATAGGAACCAACAATAAAGTAAGTGGATTTTTTTTTTTTTTTTTTTTTTTTTTTTTTTTTGGTTTTTCGAGACAGGGTTTCTCTGTGTAGCTTTGCGCCTTTCCTGGAACTCACTTGGTAGCCCAGACTGGCCTCGAACTCACAGAGATCCGCCTGGCTCTGCCTCCCGAGTGCTGGGATTAAAGGCGTGCGCCACCACCGCCCGGCAAGTAAGTGGATTTTTAAAGAGAACTTCAATTTTTAAATTATTGAAAAATTTTAAAAGACCATGGAGCTTTATTTTATTAAAAGTAGGACTGTGTTTTATACTGTGATATGAACATGAGATCTTGGGGACAAAGTAAAGAAAAATTATGGTTTAATAGTAATATGTTTGTTGTCAAGTTAATAGGGAGTAGACTCTGCTAGTTAGCTTTTATTAATTTGATCTAAATTTCTAGACATACACAGGAAGAGGGATTTAAAATGAGGAACTGTTTCTATCAAATTAGCCTATGAGCATGTCAGTGGGGATATTTCCTTAATTATTACTTAATGGAGAAGGGTCCAGCTTATTCTTAGTGGTGCCACCTCTGACTGATGGGCCTGGGCTATATAAGAAACTTAACTGAACAAGCCAGAGAAGCAAGCTAGTAAGCAGCATTCCTCTATGGTCAATGCCTCAGTTTCCGCCTCCAGGTTCCTACCTTAAGTTCCTGCCACACTGACTTCCATTAGCTATTACATGTAAGTGTAAAATGAAATGAATCATTTCGTTCCCCTTCCCCACAGAAATTGTCTTCTCTCTCTCTCTCTCTCTCTCTCTCTCTCTCTCTCTCTCTCTCTCTCTCTCTCTTTCGTCACATTGTTTATTGCTAAATTGAGAAATACCCCAAATCAGATTGGCCTATGGACATTTCTGTGGTAAACTGTCTGGACTATTAATTGATATGGGAGGGGTCAGCTGACTGTGGACAGCACCATTCCCTAGGCAGGTAATTTTAAACTGTAAGAAAACTATGGTTCCTGCCATACTGATTGGCTATAGATTCCTTGGTTGGAACTTGCTGTGTAGAGTAGAGTGATGGGCTACCTTCAAGTTCCTACCTTGAGTTCCTGCCTTAACTTCTCTCAATGATGGATTATGTCTTAGAGTTGTAACCTGAAAAAAAAACTTTTCTTCCCTTGAGTTCCTTTTGGCCAGAGTATTTTTCACATCAATAGAAATAAAAGTAAAACAGGAAGTAACCATTTACCTAGTAGCTTCATGATAGATTGATTTATAAACTATAAAGATAAGCAGAATTCTAACAGTGTTCCAAAGAAAATCTACAACCATTATTTCTTAAATTATTCAAAAAATAGAAATATAGAGTACTTACAAACCCCTCCTATGAAGCCAGTATTACTGTAATACCAAAACCAAGTATGTACACATGCTCACTCGTGTGTGTGTGTGTGTGTGTGTGTGTGTGTGTGTGTATGCCAATATCACTGATAAACATAGATTCTAAAATCCTTACTAATTGAATACAAGCATTATCAAAAGGAGCATGTCCCATGATCAAGTTGGCCTTATCCCAGAAATACAAATTCAACATATGTAAGAAATAAATGTAATAAACCATATAAATGAACAAAAATAAAAATATTACATGATCACCTCAATAGATGAAGAAAAAGAAAAAAAGGTTTAAGAAGATCCAACATGGCTTCATAATAAAAGTCATAGAACAAGTAGGAATGTAGGGAACATATTCAGACATAATAAAGGCTATGTATGAAAAACACACAGTCAACATCATCTTAAATGAAGAAAATATCAAAGCAGTCCCATTAAAATCATAAATGGAAGAGAAGTGTCCATTTATTCCCACTACTTAGCAATAACATGCTTGAAGCAATAAGGCAAGAGAAGGAAAGTACAGGGATATAAAGATTCAAATTATTCCCAACTGAAGATTGTATGATTTCATACTCAAGAGCTCCCAAAATTTGTAGAAACTATCAATAATTGCAGCAAAATGTGAGGATATATAATTGACTTACAAAATCCAAAGACTAATGTCTTTGTATGAACCAGTAAAAAGCATGATGAGAAAGAAATCATGAACACACTCCTATTTCCAATTTCTGGAATAAAATAAAATATTTAGAATAAAACAAACAAAGGAGGTGAAAAAACTCTACAATGAAAACTTTAAATCTGTAAAGAAAGAGAATGAGGAAGAAACCAGTATTTGAAAAGACTGCCCATGCTTATGACTTGCTAGAATTAACATTGTGAAAAAGACCTTCCTACCACAAACATTTTACTGATTCAGTGCAATCCCAATCAACATCCTCATCTCATTCCTAACATAAATAGAAAAAAATTCTCAAATTCATATGGAACAACAAAAGACCTGGAATAGCCAATTAATCCTATATTAACACCTGTTCTGAGCATTCTGCTATTTTTAAGTGCTAGGTTCATCTAAGACCCCAACTTTTATGTAACATCTGTTCCTATTGTATCATTGATTTTTAATCAGTCATACTTTCAATCCTCCTTTGTACCCATTTGTCCTCTTCTTCCACAGTTAGGAATCTCAGAACTCACCCTTAAATTCCTTCAGTCTCAATGTATTCATCCATAAAATGGGTATTGGCTATATATGTCTGTCTTAGAAAGGATACAGGAGTTGGAAGAGAAACAAATGCAATGTTTGTAAGAGTACTTTGGAAATCTAGTGTAATTTGATAACTATAAATTGTTATATGATGTTACTATCTGGTTTTCTTCTCTAGATTTTCAGCATCTGACAAAGAAGCTCCCATGTGTTTACTTCAGTCAATTCCAGGGTAGATACCATAGATATTCCAACTTAGTTTGGGAAGCATGGGTAACTTGAAGACTGCCCTCATTCTTTCCCAGGACTGCAAAAGTCTTGGAGGATGTGATACACAGGTTTCCAAAATTACTTGAGACCTGGAATGGTTTGATTAGAAGCTGCTGCACCTAAATGCAGATTGATTTCTTGTCTTTTCCACTTGACATTTTGTGGAGGGGTCAATGGAAATATGGAGATGAATAGTCTCTGGAGTATTTGTTTCTGTTTTCATTTCTTCAGGTTGCCTATGTTACTGGGACTGTGTTCATGTGGATCCCATTCTTCCTGGCTTCTTCTTAAACATATTTATTTGTTATAACCATGCATCTTTTGCTGAATCAAATTTTCTTCTCATGTAAATCATAGTTGTGTTTTTTTTAATCCAGCTTTGTTACCATTTCAAAAAATTCTATATCTAAACTGACACAGGGGAATGAAACACTGTTTCTTTTCTCATGGGAAAAATACACATGCAATGTAACTGTTCTAGAAATTAAATAAAAGAGATTTTAAAAACCCACCTTTTGTTTCACTCATCAAGGAAATGACCATGGATCTACATTCAAATCAGGTCATAGCAAATAGCCTTTTGAGACAAAATAAAAGTTGTCTTTTGACCATAATTTTTTTTTTTGGAGAATTTCATTGCGGACAGGAGTGATTCTTTTGAAAATTTTCAATGTGGTATATGTTCTTCCTAGAGATGGATGGAGACGAATGAAAAAATACTAAAAATGTTGAATCCATATTATTCTATCACTTTTTCTACTTTGCAAAGTGAGCTCATCAATTGATGTTTTGGTTGCTAGTGTTTACAAATAATTCAGAGCCCATTAAATGAAAGATGTATTCTAACTGTAAGAAAGAAAGAAAGAAAAGAAAAGGAAGAAGAAATAATTCTGAGCTTGCTGTGCATCAACTCTTGGGAAGAAAATTGCTACATAATTTACTCAGAGACCTCCATTCTCAATAGACCATCACTTAGGAGAAAAAAAAAATTTTATTCATTGTAGTTTCCTTGGCATTTGTGAGTCAGATAGATTATATGGCAAAGCTAGGTGCCTTGTTTAGCTCTAGTTTTGTTTTTGTTTTTCTTTCTCACCCAAAGACTCTCTTTTCTTAGGCCAGATGTCTGCAAATTGAAGTTTGAAGGGAAGACATTTTATGTGATTGGCACCCAGAAAGAGGTCAGATACTGATTTTTAATAATTACTTGATATGTGTGCATGTGCAAGTGTGTGTGCATAGAGAGATCTAAGGATAAAATAGCTTTTAGTGTGGTTGCCCCCAAAGAGAGTGACTTTGAAGAGTGGTGATAATGGAAGCTGTTTGCTGAAAACATTTTAGTGCTGACAAGTTAATGGTAATCCACAGGAAAGAATAAAGTGAATGAGCAATGTTAACTGTATAGACAGACCTATGTAAAAAACAGATTAGGATACACTTTGTTCACTAAATAAAACATGGACTTTCTCCATAAGTCTTTGTCTAAGATACAAATAAATGAAACAGAACAGAAATACTTACAAAATTAGACATCAGTCAATACTAGTTAAAGTATTATGACCACAGTATATATGTCCAAGTTGTTTTTCCCCAAAAGTTTTTAACAGTCATCAAATATAGTTTGTGGGTTCACCAGGAAATGGACTTGGTGGAAGGCTATTACCAAAATATTGAACCTTAAAACTAGGTTTGAAGTTTGCTGATTTTTTTTTTTTTACTTTTGTTATCGACTGAAATGTTCTTCCAGTATCGTAAGTAATCTTTAAATTAATCAAAGGTTGATCGAGAGGTAGATGATAACTGGAGTATTAGTGAAGATTAAGAATCAGCTTTGCATAGCATTTAAATAGATTAGTGATGTCTGATGAGTGAGGAAAAAGCCATACCATTTCAATTTTAATGAACATAGTAATATTGCAGGGAGGGTTGCTGGAGAGAAGGTTCAATGTATTTACTGTGAAACCACAATGATTTCAGATTGATAGCCAGAACCCTCATAAAACCCTTACCCCCAGTCCTATGTCAAGGAGAGCTATCCCTAGAACTTGCTGATACACTCCAGGTTCAGTAAGAGACGGTTTCAAAAAGTAAGTTGAGTGTGATAAGGGAATACACCCAACACCAACATTTTGCCTCCACACAAGAATGCATATAGCCCCACATTCCTAAACTGCCTTCATGTACTTATAAATATATATATATATATATATGATAGGCTACAAGTACGTAAATACTTCAATGAAAAACATGAATAATACAAACGGTTTAACATACCCTTTCTTGTTATTTTTTATCAGAAAAATTCCGTCTTGGCATTCCATACTTCGACACCAGCTGCCTGCAAACACCTATGGAAATGTGGGGTAGAAAACCAAGCCTTTTATAAGTAAGACTCATGTGTTCATTTGACTATAGATTTTTAAAGCACTCATGGATCTGTTTATGCCTTGCCAATGACTGCATATTCATTTTGTTTAAAACCGCTCTTCGTATTTTTTCTATTTAAATGTAATATAAATTTAGAACATAATTATTTATCATATACACATCTGATAAAGGAAAGTGTCTAGAATATTCAAAGAATTAAAAAATAAGCAAAAAGTGGACAACCCAATTAAAATTGTGCTATGGAACCAGAGTTCTCAAAGAAGAAATTCAAAGACTAAGGAGAATTTTTTTCTCCTCTCATACAGTACATCTCGACCACAACCTCCCCTCCCTCCCCTCCCTCCTCCCAGTTGACCCCTCACCTTTCCTCTGTGCCTCCCTTTCCTTTCAGAAAAGAACAGGCCTCCCAGGCATATCAACTAAACACAGCATAACAAAATGCAGTAAGGCTGGGCACAAACCCTCCTATCAAGGCTGAATGAGGCCATCCAGTAGGAGCAAAAGGTCCTGAGAGCAGGTGAAGGAGTCAGAAATACCCCGACTCTCGCTGTTAGGAGTCCCACAAAACCCCTAAGCAAAACAACCACAACACAAACACAGAGGACCTAGCACAGACTCATGCAGGCTCTGTGATTGCTGCTTCAGTCTCTGTTAGCCTCTATGAGCCGGGCTTAGTTTGCCTGTGTCTGTGGGCCATGTTCTCCTGCTGTCCTAGACCCCTCTGGCTCCCACAATCTTTCCTTCCCACATCTGTGGGGTTCCCGAGCTCTGTCTTAATGTTTGGCTGTCTCTGTGTCTGTTCCCATCGGCTGCTGGAGGAAGCCTCTCTGATGATGATTGGGCTAGGGACCGATCTATGAGTATAGCAGAATATCACCAGGAATCATTTCATTGCTTTTTTTTGGGGGGTGGGGGGGAACGAGGGGGAGTCCTGTTTGGTTCTACCCTAGGTCCCCGGCAAGCAACCAGGTTACTGGTCTTCCAGGCAGTGTGGGTCATGGGCTCCCTCTTGTGGCGTTGGTTGGCCATTCCCACAAGCTTGAGCCACCTTTGCCCCAGCACATCTTGTAGGCAAGACAGGCTGTAAGTTGAAGGTTTTGTGTCTGGGTTGGTGTTCCAGTCCCACCACTGGAAGTCTTTGCCTGGTTATGGAAAATGACTGGTTTGGCTAAGAAGTATTTTTAAAAGGGTTCAACATCCTTAGCCTTCAGGGAAATGCAAATTCAAACTACTTTGACATTTCATGTCACCCCAGTCAGATTGACTAAGATCACAAAAAACAAAGACACCAAATTCTAGAGAGGATATATAGTAAGGGTAATGCATATTCATTCTTGCTGGGAGTGCAAACTGGTGCAGCCACTATAGAAATCAGCGTATCCTCAGAAAGCTAGAAACATCTACCGTATGACCCAGCAATATATGATCCACTCTATATAGAATTTTTTAGATATTTCTTAGTCATTTTTTTTCCTCTCTTGAGAATTCGTGATTCAGGTCCCAGGCCCATTTTTAAATGGGTTATTGTTTGTTTGGTTGGTTTTGGTTTGAACCTTTATTCTTGGAGCTCTTTATACATTCTGTATTAACCATTGTCAGATGCATAACTGGGAAAGATTCTCTCCCATTGTGGCCTTCTTTTTCACCTGAGTGATTTTTTTTTTTAAGCTGTGAAGAAGCTTTTAGTTTAATGAAGTCCCGTTTTCAATAGTTGGTCTTAATTCTTGGAAAAATGGAGTCCTATTCAGAAAGTCCTTTCATATACTTAAATTATGTAGGGTATTGCCTATGTTTTCTTCTAACAGTTTTAGTGTATAAGGCTTCATGGTTAGGTCTTTGCTCCATTTGGAACTACTGTTGGGGCAATGTGATGGAAGAGGTCTAATTTAATTTAAAATTATTTTTAAAAATTGGAGACTGCCAGTTATGCACAGCAGCAAAGTAGGGTCATTTGAACTAATGGACTTCTGTCTCTTTTATGGTTTTTACAGTTACTGACTTTGTATTGAAGAAGGTTCATTGTCTATCAGAGATATCTTTACTTATACTATAGAGGCATCTATTAGTCTCTCCCTTGCTTGCTTGAGCTTCTTTCATTTTATACTGTTCAGGACCCACTTCTTAGGCAGTTGTGTCACCCACAATGAGCAAGGTATTCAATAAACAAGACGATCCCCTACAGTTATGACCACAGGCCAGCGAAATCTAGATAATTCCCTGTTAAGACTCCTTCCAGATGGTTCTAGGTTGTGTCAAGTTGGCAGTTAGCAAGTGTGCTAGTGGAAGTGTGGCTTCCAGATGCATTGAAAGTATGGGAAGCACTCAGATCTGTGCAGGTAGAGGACTGCTTTCATTCTTTCAAAACCTCGTCAGCATTAATCATCTTCCTGAGAGGATACAGATATGAGTAGTGAGTACAGCTTTGGAATTTTTAGTTTCTCTGTTCCACAGTAGTGAACAGCAGAAATGTAGATCCAGATGTTGAACTTACTTCCAACCTCAGGCTGAGAGTTATTCAATGCTAACCTTATTCTCAGTTGATGAGATCTGTTCTTGGCCACTAAGAGTGGGCCTTTCGGGGCTGGAGAGATGGCTCAGAGGTTAAGAGCACTGACTGCTCTTCCAGAGGTCCTGAGTTCAATTCCCAGCAACCACATGGTGGCTCACAACCATCTGTAATGAGATCTGGTGCCCTCTTCTGGCCTGCAGTCACATATGCTGTATACATAATAAATAAATGAATTAAAAAAAAAAAAAAAAAAAAGAGTGGGCCTTTCAATATGCACTTCCCTGCCAGAGGCAAGCCACAGGCCATCTACATCCTTTGGCCATTTTGGTGTCTGCCCCTCCTGTTCTCCCTAACTATCTCTCTGAGGTTTACCTCACACTAGTACTGTGCCAGACAAAATAGTGTTTTTCTGACCTGTGGTTGGTCTCTATTTTCAGTTTCTTAAAGTAGCTCAGTTTTTAACAGTAATCTCGCTCTCAAGATAGTTCCTAGCTATTGCTTTTCAAGTCATATATATGGACACAATCGGATTTCTTTACACCTCTGACCCATCCGCGGAAGAATCACTATAACAGTAAAGTCAGAAACTGCATTTGAGGCTAGTGAGGGCTGTGGGCTTGTCCTGAAGGTAGGACTGCCAATATCTTGTTTGTTTTTTATTTGGCAGCATCTACTTCTCCCTGCACCATGAAGCTATACTGTTGAAGCTAATTTGTGTTTAAATTTAATTATTTTTCTTAATTTTATATATGTGATATGTATATCACACATGCACACATTTGTATACCTTTTTAGGGCTACATTGGATAGCCCATTGGCCAGCTTATTCTTTTGGAAGACTGATTCTCTCTCTTACAACTGTCATTAATTGCCTGTAGCTCTTCATTTAAGCATGGACTTGGTGGGGTTTTTAGGGGGTTTTGTTTTGGGTTTGTTTTTGTTTTTGTTCTTGTTTTTGTTTTGTATTATAAGTATTTCAAACCATCCTGAAATGTGAAATGCCTGTTCTTTCTAATTTCTTTTTATGTAATTGCATAAGGCTTAAAATGACGGATACAGAAGCATCTTCAGCTGTCATAGTAACTTATGTTCCAGTCTGAAGCAGCCCATGTTGTTGAATTCTTTCCAGAGTGTTTGTGTTTTATTCATGTTTATGGGTATACTCAGAGGTTATTGAACCAGTGCTGGGTTGAGCTTCTCATCCTTATGTATCCTAGTCATCTGTCTTTTAAAGGGCACTGTCTCAGGGTGACACATAGCTAGTGCCCATGCTATGATGACATGGACCCATTTCCATTGATAAAGCAGCACATGATGAGTTCTTTGTAACAATGAATGTCCTTTCTGGCTAGAAAGCTACCTGAAACTTTTTGCAAACCTGACCTAGAAATGGAGTATAAAATAAAATTTGTGGATTATGACTAGTGTTCACAAACAATGAAAGGAAATAGAATTAATCAGTGAACATATCAAATTACAATGTGCATAAAATTTCTATTCTTTTTAGAAACTCCTTCAGATCATGTGTATACATGCTTAGTCAGAAAGTAAAATGGATGTCAAAGTGAATGATTGCCACAGCTCTACTGCTTGTCCTGTTTGAACTGTTTTAATGTCACTACCACCTCTGCTATGCTTTTCCTTAAAGGTATGCCAAGTCAAGTCAGATCAAGACTGTGTCGAGTAGCAAGATATTTTTTAAAGGAAGTAGATTTCGATATAGGTGAGTAACATTGCAGTGATGGGTTGAGGGACACCCATTTACATTGGAATGTTTTATTTGTAGATATTATGCTTATGACCCATTTCATTGAGTTTTTCTCCTGACATGGCCACCTAAACCTCCACATAAATTTTCCTCATGGAATAAGGGAAGAGGTGGACTCTTAGGTCCATCTTGGGAGCATGTGTACATACCCTTCCCCATTTCTTTGTAGTGTCTTCTCACATACATTGTATTTGTGTATTTTTTTAGTGGTAAAGTTGCCAAAGAGGTGGTGGAGGCAAGCTCCAAAATCCAGAGGGATCCTCCTGAGGTGCACAGGTGAGTAGGGTACTCTCTTCTGGCTTCAGGGAGGATGCTTCCATGACAGACAAAGGCACTTAAAAGCCAGACTAACACACATGAGCCATTGAGTTCATTCTAAAACAACACAAAAATAATTTTTATCCTAACTGTTCTGATTCCTCTGTTATGTCTCTATGTACAGTGACATGCAGCATGAAGTTAAGATGCTCACTTCCCTAGAAATCGCTCTCAGATTTGTCAGGGCTGTGGCTTGAGGGCAGCTTGATTCCCTCTTGGGTAACTTGATATGCAGATAGTTATTGGGTCTAGAATGCTGTATGACTAAGCAAGAATGTGCCTTTGGATGGCTCCTGCTAGCTCCGTCTGCTCCATTACCCTTTCATACTGCCCTCATAGAATAGCTCTAACCATATCTTGCTCATCAGACATGGTCAGGCTCACTGCTCTGAGTCCTTCTCTGCAACTGAACAGTGGATATCCATTCCTGTGATATCTGGTGAATTTGGAGTACCATGAACACATCTGGAGGGCTTCGAGCTTCTTCTGTCCCTGAGAAATGAACGGACCAGAGGCATACAGTTACAGCAGATCAGTGACAGTTTGTTAGGAAAAGATATAGAGTTCCCAAGGGAAGAAGTAAGATGGAGCAAAGAAAAAGGATAGCTATTCAAAGGGCAACATTATACAAATGATTGGGGTTTTTAATATCTTGTGGGTGGTCTTTGGGGCTTATTTGCATAGCATGAGTTTTCTTACACATGGTCTGCTACATGAAGTTCTACACACAATTTCATGCATCTCATGTCTTTTTAGGCTCCTAAGTCTCCACTCAGGAATGTGTGTTTTCATATTATATATATATAAACATAAGTCACCTCAGATACTTTGGAGTGCCTCAGTACCTGATCAAAGGTTTGATTTGCTTGGCCTTATGGAGGACTGAGGGCTTATTCCGGTCCTTCTCTTTGACAATGTGCTTTTCCATATGCTAATTCTGAAACACTTTACATATGGCCTCTATACTCCCAAAGACCAAACTATGGAATGAGAGGCATGACCTTTATTAGGTTCAGAGTACACATTTTTTTGAGACAGGGTCTCCTGTACCCCGAGATAACCTCAGGTTCACTACATAGCTGAGAATAACCTAGAAATTCCTATCCTCCTACCTACATCTTCTTTAAAGTGACAACCTATAGTTAGTTCTTAGGAATTAAGTGTTTTCTTTGTCAAACTGACTTTATATAACCACAATTTACAAAAACAAATATATATCCTAAGCTTCAAACATACTGAATACCTTAAACTGAACACCCTCACCATGACACCACGCCCTATAAAATAAAATGATCATAACCTATTTTAATTTTTTAAGTTATGTGATATAAAGGGCTTCATTATAACATTTACACACATATACACACACACACACATATGTATATGTATATATATATTTCTCATTCACCTCCATCTCCACTGCCCTCGCAAGTCCCATCCGCATGCTTCCCCATAAGGCCTCCTTCATTTCTGATAAGCTTAGTTATTCAGGAACTTTCTCACAGGAGAGTTGGCACCTATCCTTCCTTCTTCAACTTTGGAACCCAAAAGTTTTTTCTTTAAGTTCGGATTTGCTGAGTTTCTTCCATTTGCAGGAATATTGGGTGAATAGTGATACTCCACTTGTTCCTGGAGTTATAGGCAGAAGATAGCTGTGACCTCCCAGAAAGCAGGCCAAACCAGCCTTTCAAAGGCATCTAGACATTACCTATTTCCCAAAAAGTTGAACATAGCTGAAGTCTTCAGAAGGCTTGATGCAGATATATACAGCTTTTGATCCATTCCTGCTTTTGAGTAGTCCTAAAGGGACCTATCATATGCAGATCTGTAAAAGCAGCCTCTCTAGCTTTAAAAAGTAGGAACCTGTAGGGTTAGAGAGCATACAAGCTCTTGATCGAGGGTACCCTGATACACTATCTAAATATGTGGCAGGCTACTCAAAGATCAGAAGGGGATTTAGAGCACTCTTCCTCTCTCCTAAGCTGAGACAGTTTAGCATAGCAGAAAGGAAGATGGGAAAAATAAAATATATCATTTTGACTTTTCCAGAAACTTTGGATAGGAAATAGTCTTTATGATCTTGTACTTTCTTCTTTTTAATTGATAGAAGATTTAGTCATTTTCTTGCACATGCGATGTGTCCAAAATATTGTTCTGAAGGCCTTTGACCTCTCCAAAGTCACCATGTGGTCAAAGCAGTAGTAATGTGTAACACTTTCGGGTAATTTTTACCTTCCTAGAAGTCATTTGCATGGGAAGACTTGTTTCTCTTGGGCCATTACTTTATTTTTAAACTATGTTAGCATTTCAATGTGGCTTCAAAAGTAAAAATTTAGTAATGAGTTTATATTTTGTGGTGACTCTTCAGAAAATATCATTAATCTATAATGGCAATGATAAGGTATTAATTTATCATCCTTCCTCACACATGAGATTCTACTCCTCAAAAAAATTCCCGGCTCATAGATTCTTGCTTCTGAAAAAGTGTGTATGTATAAAGAGACAGAAACAAACAGACAGAATATTTTAGGATTATTCTTTCCTTCAGAAAGAGAAGCTCACTCTGATGTTAGTTCACTGACCTTTATTGATGGCATGGGAAGATCCTGGGGAAAGCTGTCCTGGTCTGGCTGCTGGGGAAGAATCCCTGAGCCTAGCCAAGAGGCCACGTCAGATGGAGGGCTGCAGCTCGGAGCATAGCATCCACCACCAGGGGACACACAGAACACCCAGAACCAGCAAGATACAAGAATGTTCTGATACAAAAATGAATATATTTTAATCTTTGCTACATTGCCTGCCAGCTCTGTGGCCTTGGGTAAGTCACTGAATTTCCTAGATTATTGGTTTACCCATCTATGAAATGAGATTCTATATTGCCTTGACCTACTTCTAGATTTTGTTGGTGGATTAAAATAACTTTTTAAAATGTAAAGTGGCAGCCGGGCGGTGGTGGCGCACGCCTTTAATCCCAGCACTCGGGAGGCAGAGCCAGGCGGATCTCTGTGAGTTCGAGGCCAGCCTGGGCTACCAAGTGAGTCCCAGGAAAGGCGCAAAGCTACACAGAGAAACCCTGTCTCGAAAAACCAAAAAAAAAAAAAAACATGTAAAGTGGCATACACATGTAAAGCAATGATATTATTATCATTCATTTAAAACAGGGCAGCTAGAACTTAGCAGCAGAGTACTTGCTCAGCATTGCAATACCTCTGGTTCAAACCACAACCTTGTAAAAATGGGGAGGCAGAACCTGGAAGATACATTCATATTGAAATCCGTCGAGACCGTAGGCCAGCACTACTTCCTTTGAGCATAGAGTGGTGAATGACTGTCATAAACGTCAATGTGCTCCTTCTGTTTTGTCACCCCTCTGAGTCCTGCATTTACTTGTCATCAGTTTACAATCCAGTTTTGTGACTTCACCTTTCTCATCTTTGAATACATGCTTTTCTCATGCTGAGAAAAAAAAAAAACAATACTCTAAAGTCTACACAAATTCTAAAATACATGCTTTTCTCATGCTGAGAAAAAAAAATCAATACTCTAAATTCTACACAAATTCTATCTTCCAATGTTAGAATCTACTTTAATGTGCCACAACCAGCCTTCCTCCTGCAATGGAAGTCTTAATGACAGTTTTGTTTGGATACTATTGAACATGAGTGGCTTATGGAACAGGATAGGCATTTCTCCAGCTGATGGGTGGGATCTATAAGTGTAGAAATGTAGCACGTGTTCTTGCTTGGCAGAGGAATCAGTTACTTCATGATAAGATTTGGGGTGTCCACAAAGGTATCTATACCAGAATCTTGATTCTGATAGAGCAGTTATAAGGAGGAGAGAAAATTAAGACTAGGGATATGTGGAAAGTGTTTGAACCGTGGAGACACTACTCTCAAGGATTGATTCATTGCATGATGCTATTAAGTTTTCTTCTAAGAAGCAATTTGTTAATTTTCTTGAAGATGACACTACCTCACATTTGCCTTTTTGAACATCCCAGTTTGTTTTTCTGCATTATCTGCTGTGAGATAGGCCATCATATGGCCTTCAGCAGGAGCTAAGACAATGACTACACAATGCTTTCAGGATTTTTCCAGTCTTTAGACTCTTGTTCTAAATAAATTCATTTTATTTGTACAAACATTTTGTATTTGTTATAGCATCACAGAATTGACTAAAACACCTCAGGATATGAGGAAGAAGGGCAAAGTAGAAGCCAATGTGAACTTTGGCAATTTCTTAGAAAAGCGGTTAGCATAGTGAGACCTTCTTATATAGCCCCAACTTCAAAATGTTAGTTGTAAAACAAATCCCTTTGGGATGCTGTTACACTCACTAATGTAGAAAGTGTGGCATAAAGCAAAAGTACTAGGCAAAATTAAGAATCCTGGTTTTGCCCATGTAACTCCTTTGTTTTTATTTAGTTTTATTTTTTTGAGTCTTTCATACTTGAGTATATTAAATCACTTCCACTCCTCCCTCTCTTCATTTCAACTCCTTCCATGCCCCCACTCTCTGTAATTTGCATTATATACATATATATACACATGCGTGCATATACATAGACCTACATGTATATATTATATGTATATGTGGGTATATATATATACACACACACACACACACACAAACCTACTGAATTCATTTAATGTTACTTGTATGTACATATGTCTAGGACTGACTATTTATTTAGGCTTGGATAACCTGTTGCGGGGCAGGAGGGGAATCATCCCTGGAGAAAAATTGAATCTCCCTCTCTCAGCAGCCATCAATGGCCAGTATTTATTCATCTAGGGGTGAGGTCTTGTGAAATTTCCCTATTCTATATTGGCATGTTAACTGATATTATGCTTATGCAGATCTTGTCCAGATAGCCACATTGCTGAGATTTATGGATGCGGCTTCCCATTTATGACTAGAAGACATTATCTTTAGCAGGCATTCTCATCTTCTGGCTCTTACAATCTTTCCATGCACTCTTCTGCAACCTTCTCTGAGCCTTTGGTATAGAAGTTTGTTGTACATATACTAATTGAAGCTGGGCATACCGTGCTCGCTTATTCTCTGCATTTTGACCAGTTGTAGATTTCTATAGCACTCCATCTGCTATAAAAAGAAGCTTCTTTGATGAGAGGTGAGAACTAGTTATCTGTAGGTAAAATGATTTAGAAAACTGCTGGAAATTATATTGATTTAGGAAAATGGCAATAGTAGGTTCTGCTCTAGGATTTATTACATCATTAGCCATGAGTAGATGGCTAGGTTTACAGTACCAGACATGAATTTTGTCCCATTAATTAGTCTTTAAATACAATTAAACAGATGTTGCTTACCCCGAACATAAAAGTGCAACTGTTGCCCATTTAGGAATATCTCACCAACTTATTCTCCTGGTTTACAAGCTTTAAAGCAGGGTAGGATCATTATGCCCCCCTGACCCACTTGGCAGTTTATATAGCACCTTCTGATACTATGACAGCTAGTCCTCAGGGAGGAAGCTTTCAGGTCAGCTACAACTCAATTCCTCCAAATCATGTGTCTGAAATATGTTGTGTCTTCTGCAATGGTATCTTGCCTTCATGTTTTAGGAGACAACCAAGAGCAATGCATTAACCTATATTTTTTGAAAGTATCTTGGACCACCACACACACACACACACACACATCTAATCAGCAACTAGAAGGGATATTTCCTATACCTGGCACTAGGGTTTTGTCAAATAGTCTAGGACGTTTGTTGAGGGGTAGATGCGTCTCTCATCAGTACAAATACAATGTTTATCCTACCTGACTCATAAGCACACTAAGAAACCCGAAAGATGAGCAGAGTGTATACAAGCCAGTATATAAAATGAACTGACCATTCAGATTTTATTCTATTAAGTATTTGTCCTTACCATTGTGCCAATGAGCCTTTGCTTCCAATGAACCCCACATCAGGCATCCTCTTTGCAATCTTTCCAAATAGGTAAATAAGGATAATTTTTAGTCTAAAGGAAATAAAATACATAGTATATTTGAGTTTCTGTAGCAAAATACAACAGACTGAGTAGTTTGTGCACAACAACACTTTATTTCCCACAGCTCTGGAGAATGGGAAGCCCATGAGTGAATCAATGAAAGATTTGATGTCTGGCGAGGGCTTCCACATAAGCAGAAATGTCTTTATTTTCCTACAATTGAAGGAGGGAAGGGAGAAACAGACTGCCCTGGCATTCTATTTCTTTTTTCTTTATTTGAAGAGGGGAGGGGAGGGCACATGTTGCCATGTATGTAGATGTCAGAGGACAACTTAAATTGAGTAGTTATTTCCTTATTCTGTGGGGTCATTGGATTAAAAAAATCAGGTCATCAGTTATGGTGGCAAATGTCCTTACCTACTGAGCCACTCCACTGGCCATCAGAATACTTTTATAAGGACTCTAGACTATTCATGAGGGTTCTCATGACTGAATTATATCTAAATGTCCTGCCTCTTACTACTATCACAATGGAAATTTTTTTTCTCTTTTTTATGAAATTTTTTTCAGCAAATGGATTTTAAAGGACAAAATAATAATTTCAGACCATAGAAATAAAAAGGAATGAGAGAGATCCATTTATTCATTTAACTTTCTTTAATCTGTCTCTGGAGTTACCAGGCTATCCTAGGGTATTGAGCCTGAGAATTTTGTGCCTTGGGAAATGCCTTTGGGAAATCTGTGTCCTTCTCTGTCATATTATTTAAACTCCGAGGTTTGTAATGCCCTATAAGAGTCATCTGTCCTAACCCTAGGCATAACCATAAGCCATGAACCTCTACTACAATGAAGCAACATTAACCTATGTATAGGGGCCAAGTTGCCCCTACCTTTCATCCAGTACCAAGATGGACTTACACGGGGAATACCAACCCTGGTAATAGAACTGTCCTAGACTAGGACAGGTCCTAGACCTGTCTAGGAAGGGTAACAGCCTGTTCTAGAACCAAGCAGTTGTTGGACAATGCAATTTTAAAAGAGTATCAAATATTCAGTATCTCCAGATGAAGAATGTTGGGAGGAGGATAGATGATACAAAATGTATTTCATAATGTGTCTCAGATTTTTTAAAAAGTGAAAAATGTTACTTCTAGATAGTGACTTCCTTAATGAGAGAGCTACCAATCATCAAAACAAACAGATCATCTAATACATAATCATCAGTTCCAACATCAGTTTCTAGAATGAAATAAAAGAAGAAATGACTCTGTGGTTAAACAACTTACTATGAGCCAGTGGCAGCTGTGAAAATTTCCAGTGCAAGATGCTAATAGACATCCTACTCCACATCTTTCCATGAAGGTCCTAACAGAAATGTCCAGCCTGAGAAAATCCTTGGCAATCTGAAATTCCAGGTTATGTCAAGCTAAGGTTGTCTTCAGTTTACTTCAGATTAAGAGTTCAAACCCTGTAAGAAGTTACCCAATGAGACACTGTAAGGCACTTAAGAATGGCCAGCAGTCTTTGTTGTTGTTGTTGTTTTTGATTTATTTATTTATGAGAAGAGGGCGCCAGATCTCATTACAGATGGCTGTGAGCCACCATGTGGTTGCTGGGAATTGAACTCAGGACCTCTGGAAGAACAGTCGGTGCTCTTAACCTCTGAGCCATCTCTCCAGCCCCGGCCAGCAGTCTTTTTAGAGTGTGGCTGATTAGTACAATAATGATTGCAAACTGACAGAAGTAACAAACATGCTGAATTGCGAAAGAAGAGCGAGAAGTATGAGAAAAAGAAGGAGAGAATAAAAGGGTGAATCCCTGTTGTGAGAAACCAACAAGGAGAAGGCTTCAAGGAGGAGACATTTGACAGCATTTTCAAAAGACTGGTGGGTTTGGTTTTGACAGGAAACTGGAGAAAGTTAAGCACTTAATGTAGACCTTCAGGTTTCCACTTCCTCTGTGAGGGGTCCACAGCTGTTCTGCCCACAACAGGCAGTACAAATGGACTTCTCGCTGCCTATCAACAGTTTTAATGAGACAGCGACAGTTTCCTTGCCATCTGTTACTTGTCATAGCTTCTGTTGTGTACATGCCTTTCCAAAGGAGAACCAGAACTGAGTTTCATGACTGTCTGGTAAAGGAGGGGATGAATGGAAATCTTAAACATTGAACATCTGACAACATGAAGATAGCTCACAGTTGCAGATCATCTGTGTCCTCTGTCTGGTGGGGGTGGTCCAGTGACTCTGAGCCACTGTCATTTACATTTCTACCTGTCTAATTTGGTGCTAGGAAAATCCCTGGTGTGTTTCTTATGTCTATTTAAAATTTGTGTGTTGTCGCCAAGCATATCTGTCAGATGACATTTGAGGAACTTTATTTTCTTTCACTGAGTTGAACAGAATTTGTAGACTTTTGTCAGGAATCTAATGACAAGGAGAGCCATGTGTCTTAAAAGTTAGGAACATTTTTACTCTTAGCATTAATCTCTTTATGTGTCCAGAGGGTGGGGCCAGTATTTGCAGTGGACACTAATTTATTTGCTTGTGTCTATTTTTAGAGTCAACATTACTCAGAGTCGAAGCTCTCACTCCTTGAACAAACAGCTCATCATTAACATGGAGCCCTTGCAGCCCCTGCTTCCTTCACCCATTGAACAGGAAGATGAAGTTCCTGTTCCTGAGGGTAAGTCCACCACCTCAACCTAGAAGTCTCCTTTCTGAGGAATGAGGAAATTTTGTGAATTCAAAATATTTCTAAGCCAGGCAGTGGTGGTGCACACCTTTAATCCCAGCACTTGGGAGGCAGAGGCAGGTGGATCTCTGTGAGATTGAGTCCAGCCTGGTCTACAGAGTGAGCTCTAGGAGAGCCAGGACTACACAGAGAAACCCTGTCTCAAAAAAAAAACAAAAAACTGTATTTCTAAAATTATTTATGAAAGAAGTAATGGTGCAAGGCATGCACTGTTAAGTAAGACAATTACTTTTAGTGGTTATTTGAAATTCAGTTATAATTCATTAAAATTAAAACCCCATCTCTCAGTCACCGTAGTTAGATTTCTAGTACTCAGTGGCCACCTGTGGCTGGTGGCCACTATATCCGTCTGAGACTAAGAAGATTTTCATCACTGCAGAAAGTCCTGATGGAAAGAATGCTTTTCTACAGTACTCAAAATTAAATGGATGATTATAAGCAATTCTCCACAAGTACATCTACACTGATCCTCCATTTGGGGCCTCTTAATTCCCAAGCCTGTTGTTTTTACAGGTATTCTGTTGGCTTTTTATCAGTTTGGTGTGGCTTGGTTTAGTTTTGAGACAGGCTGTCTTGTATCCCAGGTTGCCCTCAGATGTTGTTTGCAGTCAGGAATGCCTTTTCATGTCTCTTCTTCCTGCCTCTAGCTCCTGAACACTGGAATGACTGGCAGGCACTATGATACCATGATCATGACACCATGATACTATGCAGTGATAGGAGTCTAACCATGGGCATTGTACTTGATAGGCAAGCACTCTACCAACTAAACTACATCCCCAACATGCCTGATAGTTTTGATGAAAGCTAAGTATTTAGTTTCTCCTTCAACTCAAAAGCTTTCATATTATTAAGTAATAATTAATATTTGTGCATCACCACTGTGGCTATCATTGCTGTTGCCCTTTCTCATCCTCTTAATCCTCATCCTCCTCATTCTCCTTTTTTACTTTTGACCTACTCTTCTTTTATCTTTTTCATATAATTTCTCTCACTTACTTCAAGGAAGAATCTTACCACCCTGCTTGTTTGAGATAACAAGTAAGGCAAACACACACCCTCCTAATGTCAAAGTAATTTTTTAATGCATGCCAAATAAAGCTACTAAGACTCTGAATTCAAACTAGCTTTCTCTTAACAGTTTTTTGTTTTGTTTTGTTCGTTTGTTTATTGTTTTGCTTTTTGTTTTTGTTTTTTGTTGTCGTTTTATTTTGGGGTTATTTTTTTGGGGGGGGGTGATTTTCAAGACAGAGTTTCTCTGTGGAATAGCCCTGGCTGTTATAGAACTCTCTTTGTAGATCAGGCTGGCCTCGAATTCACAAAGATCTGTCTACCTCTGCCTCCAGAGTGCTGGGATTAAAGGCCACCATTGCCTGGCTTTCCCTTAACATTTTTACTTGAGATATAGTTTCTCATAGAAACTCTAGATAGCAGGCAGTGTCAAGATGACAGATTTCCCAGTCACTTTCACCCCAACCTCAAGCTGGTAATTCTTTCCATAGAAAAGGACATTTTCACTTTCTTTTGTCCATCGGACTTTTGAAGTAATAGGCTACATGCAGTTGGAATTTATCCAGTCTTCATCTTCAGTCTTCAATCTGTGGTCCTCTATATAAACCCAAAATTCATATTGGGAACATAAAGATGGACTTGTGGGGCTATGAACTAGATCTCCTTGTTTTTCTTCCCAATGTGGCATCATTGAATAAATTCCCCTTCTGGGTTTTACTCTTATTTGTTTGTTTAATTGGACGATTGAGGATAGATTGCTGAGCTTGGCTTGTTAAGAGCTTCAAGGGCCTAGGCTCTGACACTAAAAACTCTACTAATAGAGTCCCTTTATATCCTGGTATGTCTTAGTTAGGGTTTCTGTTGATGTGAAGAGACACCATGACATGGTAACTCTTATAAAGGAAAACATTTCATTGGGGCTTGCTTACAGTTTCACAGGTTTAGTCCATTATCATCATGATGGGATATGGCAGCATGCAAGCAGACAGGGTGCTAGAGAAGAAGCTGAAAGTTCTACATCTTGATTTACAGGCAGGAAGGAGACTGTGTCACTAGGCATGACTTGAGCATATATGAGACCTCGAAAGCCTGCCTCTACAATGACGTACTTCCTCCAACAAGACCATACCTACTCCAACAAGCCTATCCTCCTAATAGGCCACTCCCTATAAGCCAAGCATTCAAACAAATGAGTCTATGTGTGTGAGGTGGGGGTGTCTATTCAAACCACCACATAGTATAATGATGCCCCAAGGCAATAACAACTTGTGACTCTGAATTTCTCATGCAAAGTGTTCAACCTGCCTGGTTCTTAAGTTTATTTTTCTGTCTAGGTTCCATCTGTGTAGAAATTTAGAGTTGCAATTCCACGTGTAATTTGTCTTTTCTCCACAAGTCAGCCCCATCTTTCTCATTCTTCTTCAATCAACCTTGGGATAACCATGACCATCACAGAATGTTAATTTCACTCAAAGAAGTATTCCAGGAACATGAAATGAAGCTGATGAAATTATTAGTGATCCATGGAGTTTGTTTTGTAATAACCACCTACTCCAGGGCCTGGGACCTGTCCTGGAGTGGTTGATATACCCAGTACCACTCCACTGGAATGGAAGAAAACTGGTTTCCTTTGTCAGTGGGTATCAATTGTAAGCACCTTCTTTGTTAGGGGTGAGACCCTGTGTCCACTTCTCCTTCTCAGTGCTGAGATTCCATCTGGCATGATCCTGCTTAGGTCCTATACATGCTATCATAATCTCTGTGAGTCCATATGCACATCAGTCCTGTAGTGTTTGGAGAACACTGTTTCCTTGGAGTCATCCACCATCTCTGGCTCTCATAATTTTTCTGCCTCTTTTTCCTTATAGATCCCTGAGCCTTAAGGTGAGGGGTTTGATAAAAATATCCCACTTAGGACTGAATACTCCAAAGTTCCTTACTCTCATACATTGTCCAGTTGTGTTAATTACCATCTACTTCATGAAGAATGTCCTCTGATGAGGGTTAAGCAATGCACTGATTTATGAGTATAGCAATATGTCATTAGGAGTCATTTTATTGCTATATACCTTTGTAGTCAGAAGTTTTCTCTGGTCCCACCAGGCCCCACAGTCCCATGACCCGCTTATAGAAAAATCACTCAGAAGCTTATATTAATTATAACTGTTTGGCCATTAGCTCAGGCTTATTATTGACTAGCTCTTGCACTTAAATTAACCCATAATTCTTATTTATGTTTAGCCATGTGGCTTGGTACCTTTTCTCAGTTCTGCCTTGTCATCTTGCCTCCTCTGTGTCTGGCTGGCAACTCCTGACTGCTTTTCTCTTCTCAGCATTCTCCTAGGCTGCTTACCCCACCTATACTTCCTGCCTGGCTACTGGCCAATCAGCATTTTATTAAGCATTATCCCACAGCATTTCCCTTTTTCTGTCTAAACAAAAAGGAAGGTTTTAACTTTAACATAGTAAAATTACATATAATAGAACAGTTATCAAGCAAAAATTACAGCTACAATATCTAGTCTATTTATATTTGGCAAAATTAAAGAAAATATTTTATCTATCCTATATTTGTGAGTCTAAAGTTTCATATCTAATTTATCTTTTATCATAACCAAGGAAAATTATAATTATAACTATCTAGTCTTCAACTACATCAAAGACCTCACTCAGAAGGATATAATATTACCCAAGTAAACAGGAAGTGCATTGTAAGCAACTTCCAAAAATCTGGAATGAAAGAGACAGCTGGCTACCTGGACAGTTACCCAAAGTTCCTCTACAATGTTGGGGCATCCTTCTTCAGCTTATAGGCCTAGAGTCTCTCAGTTGCTTCTCTCTGTGTCCTGTAGAATGTCTGGCAGTTTCTTCTGTGAAGCGGGAACCTGAAGGATCATCTTGCCTTACAAATTTCAATGGTCACCTTCCTATGGGTCCTGAATGTCCAGTTTATACAACATTTTGTCAAGCAGTTCAGGCAAGAACAGTATCTAGCTCAAATGGCTAACTTTTGCCATGATGAAGATAAACTCCATATGGAGTGTCTTTGGTACCAATCATCTTCCTTGAAGTAATTGGTGCTGCCAGGAGCAGACATGTCTCATTGTCCAGAAAAGTCTAAGTTTTTAAAACATTTTAAATGCCATATTCTGTGGGTCTTTGAAGTGTTTGAAGATTACCTACCTAATTGAATTGTATCTATGTATACCTAGAAAACTTAACTATCACAATTATAAGTGTACTATCATAAAAGACTAATTAGTAATCTGTATTTCTTAATTACCCATTACAATTTCAAATGAGCTGCACAAACATAATACCTTAAACAAGAGTAGAAATATACATACAATGTAATAAAATTAACTTTAAACAAGTTGATGCTCTTCAACAATCAATAATCTACCCTTTCATCCTATCCTATTTCTACTATCCCCTTTCCTTCTTTAGAAAGAGATTGCATTTATAATCAACTCCCTTTAAGTAAAGATAAACATTTATAAACTATGGTTTGGGAATTGGGGCAAAGTTTCTCATACTACTTCCTGTTGATTGAGGGTGCTGGCAATCTTATGGGGATCCTAAGAAAATTAAGAATTATGGTAGCTGGGCGGTGGTGGCGCACGCCTTTAATCCCAGCACACGGGAGGCAGAGCCAGGCGGATCTCTGTGAGTTCGAGGCCAGCCTGGACTACCAAGTGAGTTCCAGGAAAAGGCGCAAAAGCTACACAGAGAAACCCTGTCTCGAAAAACCAAAAAAAAAAAAAAAAAAAAAAAAAAAAAAAAGAATTATGGTCAAGTCCTGAGAAGACCGACTGTAACCTTTGTTGATAGGTACCATCTATTAAGGTTCAGGAGGTTTGGCTCAATCAAATCTGATTCATCTTAACCTGGAACAAATCCATAGCTTCTCATCTTCTGTG